CTGCCTCGCCGCCCCATCAGCCAGGACCCCTTGGCTCAAGCCCGCCCCCAGGCCTGTCAGCTCCTGACCTCGGGGAAGGCTTTCCCCATTGCTGGCATAGAAGAGCTGCTCTCAGACCTCTTACTGGCCAAACTGGGACCCACTGTCCAGTGCCAAGAGCCTTTTGGCATGCAACAAGCAGAGGAGCTTTCAGTCCAAGCCAGGTGCCTTCCTCCTGCTCCTGGGGGGGTGTCCATAAATGGGCTGTGCTGTGTTAACCCAGCCCCCCAAGGCACCAGTTATACCCAGAGACTTGCATGGGTTATGGGCTCTTTCTCCAAAAGTGAGCAACAGCCACCTCCCCTGCCATTTGCACCCCAAGCCTGCAACCCCACGCAGTGGGTGGGGGATCCCTCTGCCCCCGGCACACATTTAAACCACTCGCCTGTCCCCCTGCCTCCTCCTCTCCACTCTCCAAGGGCTTTACTGTAGCAGGCGGCCTCAGGAGACTGAGCTCCGTTCAGCAAACCACTCCTCTCCCTCTGCAACAGGGACAGGAGTGGAGCAGAGGTGCTGAAAAGCACCAGGATGGTGGCTCCCACGCACTTGCCCCAGCCGGGTATGGCCACCCCAAAGGGCTCAGCTCTGCCCTGCCTGCAGGAGCTGCATCCCACATCCCAGCCATCATCCACAGAGATGGGGAGCAGCTCCCCCAGTTCAGCCAGGGAGGACGTGACAGCACGGAGTGGGTAAAAACTCATCCAAGAGCAGGGCTGGCGCATGCCCGGCGCATGCCCGCACTGGGAACAGAACTAGCCGACATCTCTCAATGCGTAGCACTCAACCGCAAGATTGTCTTTCCTTCCTGTGCAGATACACACCTACACTCACATATACATATGCACAGGCTTGCTTGCGTGTCCATGAAAAGAACTCAACTTACCCAACGGCTTCCCACAGCTTCGCCATCAGGCTTTGAAACACTGCTAAATTTAGTTATGCAACTGGCTGGAGAAAGGTTGGAGGAGTTAAGCACCCAGCTCCCTGCCCCAGCTCCTGGGGCTGGTTTTGTTTCCGTAGGTGCAAATGCTGTGAACGCTGGCATTTCTCCCACCCTTGTTCAAGATCATTCTTGCAGCAACACGCCTGGGTGAGGGAGCAGAACGCAGCCTGGCTCTCACAACCTGGGAGGAGGTTGGAGAGGGCACCGCCACCATGGCTTTAACATGTTATTGCTCAAACCTGCAAGACCCTGGATTTCTTCTGCACTGAACATACGAACAGAAATGTCGCTGTTAGCTTGCGTAGGCTGGGGCAAACCTGAGCCAGTGTTTGGCAGCAACGGGCGATAGAAATGAGCGCTCCCCGGCCTTGACGCAGGTGGAAAGTTATCCAGAGTTGAGCTTCATTGTGCAGCGGCGCAGCCTGACCCACTGCCATCCCGTCTTGGTGCTGAAGACGGGTGGAAAAATAGTGGGAGGCGAATCTCCCTTCCCTTCTGAAATGTCACCTGGGCAAAGCCACTGCAGAGATGCTGTCCCCAGTGTCCCTGCAACCCAGCATCCCAGCAGCCCCTGCACAAGGGTTTGCAGCTCCCCCAGGCCCCCTGCACTAATTCTCTAGGAAATTGCCATTAAAATTAGGGTCTCTGTGGCCTCAGCATCATCGCCGGTGATAAAGATCTTGCAAGACAAGCACTGCACGTGTTCCCACTGGCGCTTTCAGGGCCAGCAGCACGTCTGGGCTGGGCTCAAGACCCAAAGCCTGATTGCAGGGGATGCTGTGATGGGAGCATAGCAGCCCTTCTCAGGGATTAGCAAGGGGAATTAAGCTCTGGCCTACTTTGGGATTTTCCTTAATTCCTTCAGATATTTCTGCAGTTTTAAGTTGGCGAGCCTGGCTTGCAGGGCACACGTACAATGAGTTTCTGGGGAGCAGTTGAAGGCTGTCGGCTGCAGAGGCAGTGGCTGAGCAGGAGCCCGGCTCCTGCTGCTTTTCCTCCAGACCCCTGCAAACAAAACTATTAATTTTGGGGCAAAATATGCCCCCTCCCTGCCAAGCCCAGCACCTTCCCTGCAGTCTGTCCTGGGGGAAGCCCTATAAAGTAGAGGGAATAGAGGAAAAGAGATTTCTTTGCAGTGTTTCACAACTCATCTCGCAGGCTGGCAGCAGCTGCCAAGTCCTGACGCAACATCTCCCCGTGTTTTGCATGTTTCTAGCTCAGGTCTTTCCTCTGCATCGTAGCCCCCTGCTCCAACAGGCATTTCCAACCCCGGTGCTGGCCTAAGAACCACAACGGGACATTTAATGGCAATAAAAAAGGAGTCCTATCATTTGCAAAGGGAAAAAAAAACAAAAATCAATAATTATTGTCAAAGCCAAGGTGTAACCTGGTGGATTCAACCAGACCCTGTCCCAGAGGCAGACAAAAAGGTTTTTAAAGCCACGATGGTTTTGATGAAGGGCTGAACACAGGAGCCCTCTGCAAAGCTGCTAAAGGACTGGGGGAGAGGGGAAATCAGAGATTTTTTAAAAGTGCTGTGTTATTTCTGGCCAGACCACTGAGGAGTTCTAGTTTAAAAACGGTCTGCCTCTACCTACCGACCCGCTGGCTGAACAGGAAGCAGAAACATGGGTGCTCTGGCAAGCAAGAAAACATAGAAAATATAAACTGAGTTTGGGCTGTTAGTTGGGCATAAAAAGCATAAGAAACTGAAAACAACTAAAAATCAGATTTCTCCTATTTTCACCTAGAAAATACATTTGAGCATTAACTCTCCCCACTTTTTTTTAAAGGGAGGCAAGGTCAGAGACAGCGAACTTCACCAAAACCAGCGTGGAGGCGACAGCAAGGTCTTATTAACGTTAATATTTAACAATTCCTCCGTGGAAACCCAGGGGGGATGCAAAGCATCCCTGGACCCGCTCTGCCCCTTGCAGCCCACCCACCAGCCTCACGCTGGCACTGTCCGAGCCCCCCCGAGGACTCACTTTGAGCTGGGATTTGGAGACCTTGCCGCTCTTCTCCACGTCCAGGGCGGTGAAGGCGTACCAGATGGACTTCAGCAGCTCCGCTCGCAGGTCCATGGCTACAGGCGGCGATGGCAGAGGCGGCTCTGTTGAGGCCGAGGATCCGGTTCCAGGAAACCGCCTGCCTCGACCGCCTTGGGCGGCGGTGGACGCGCGAAGCAGGAGCGCCATCTGCTTGGGCGCGCCCTGGAGAAGCCCACGGGCCACATCTCGGCCCCACCGTCCCCAGGGCTGCAGGTGTTTTTCCCCTCCACGGACCGATTCCCCCATGCCCAGGAAAGCACAATCCAGGGCTCACAGAGCACAAACAGGGCAGGGATTCGTAACCCTTTGCTAGCTCAGCCTACAGATCAAAAGCTTTCTCTGCATTTGTGTTCTGCGGAGCGAAATCCCCTCTGACTCAAATAGCAGCTTCCTCTTCTGGGATTTAAATAAAGAGCTTCTCCTCGCAGCAGGAGCACGGGCTGTGGCTTTTGGAAAGGTTCCAGCCCTGCTTGTTTTGGGATGAGCCCGCCAAGGAAGGCGAGCGGAGATCTAGCCCGCTGCAGCCCTCCTGGGTTACACCCGTTCCTTGCCTGCAGAAACCTCTTCCTCTGCAAACTCCTTGGGTACAGCCAAAAAATAAAACACCTGATCGCTGGGAGCCTGCGCTGGTGTTGGGTTTACAGTTGGACTCAATGATCTTAAAGGTCTTTTCCAACCTAAATGATTCTATGGTGCTCTCTGTGCTGGCTTTGTCCACAAACTGCCCAAGGCAGAGGTACACAGCGGCAGGGTTGAGGTTGCCCCTGCTGGGTTGAGGAAGCCGGCCCAGGTCTCTCTGCCCAGTTCAGAGGGCTGTAGGATGCATTCACCCATTTTCTTGTAGTGACACAATTCCCTAAATCTAGGCTTGCAGGAATCCTTGATCTGAGAGTCAAGAGACAGCTCTTAGTCCCTCTAAGACACACGCTGAGAGCTCAGAGGCTGCAACTTATCTTGCTCACACCCCTCCTCAGTGCTGTTTTTGGACAATCACTGCACTTTCGGTCAATTCAACAGGTCTCCTGAGCTTCCTTAATCCTTACATCTGCAAAACAGTAACATCCATCCCACCCCCTGCCAACCACTGGCCCCAGGGACTGAAAGAGAGAAAGGTGCTTTTTTTTTTTTTTTTAAAAAGAACATTTTTAATTTGTTTTTATTTCAACTCAGTATTTACATCCAATTCTAGCTCAGCCCCCAACAAGTGCTGTTTGGTTTCAGTGGAGGGAGCACCTTGCTCTGCTCCACAGCACTATCTGCCGAGAAGTCTGCTTGAGAGCAGTGTGATAAAGAGATGGGAGAATCACTGTCGGAGCCAGCCCGAGCGCTCACTCCAGTGTCAGGAACTGGTCACCACTCCAGACACCGAGCCCAGGACAGCCTGGGCTTGCTTTGATGGGGCTTTATTGCTTCTGTGCATATGCTGCCCACTTGTCCCTTACCTGGAGGGGTGGACAGGAAAGGTGAGCTTTTGGACCATTCCTAAAGGGAGAGGGCAGGAAGTGCCTCTCCAAAAATATTCTGCACTCCCAGAGACTGCTGAAATCTCTGTGGCTCCACCTCTACTGCAGAAGACTGGCAGGTCTTAGAAATCTTAACCATGAAGAAATAAATACTAGGAGACAACCTGCCATCTCCTCCAGACAAAGGGAGTCAGTGCCCAAGGCAAGGAGCAGGAAAGTTGCTGCTCAGAGCCCAGGAAGACAGCAGAGCCTCCAGAAGGCAGCAGCCAAGTATCTTTGACATCCCTCCTTAGAGACAAGAGCCACTCCAGTAGCCCAACGCTGCTGGCATCAGCTCTCACCACCTGCGTGGGGAACACGCTGGCCACTGGTCTCAGACACCTTCCCTCGCTTGTGTACCACACTTCTGTGTGCCAGCTGGCCCAGTTCCTGCAGCTCCCGACGCATCTGTGGAGAACAGGCTCGGGCTGCCTGCTCTCCCTGCCCGGGAGGCTCTGCAGGGTCTCAGCACCCATTCTCAGACACGGCTGTGTCAAGTGTTAGAGGTTCATGCTGGATTGCTGCTGCGGCCATGCTGATGGCTTCCTCCAGGCTCTGCTGCTCTTCTAACTAGTGGAGGAAAGGGAGAGAGATAATGCTGTCTTCCCAAAAGTTGGGCTCAGGAGGTGTGGGCTCGGTCAGGGCAGCCCCCAGCAGAACAGAAGTACAAGGGATTGGCAGTGGGTGACACAGGAAGAAGGCGGCAGGGCAGAGAGACACAGCTACAATGGGGAAAGGCTGTTTACAAAGGAACGTTCTGCAATCCAAGGAGCATGTCCCTGCTCTCCTCTACACGCAGGGCATCTGGGAATTAAGGAGCAAGCACCCTGGGCAAGAGGAGGTGCAGCAGAGCAAGAAGGTAAGTGCTGAAGCCAGTGGGTGGATGGGGGAATGAAGGGGAACGTGGCAGGAGCTGTACAGTACCTGCACTGCGATGTGGGTGCCATTGGCTGTAGCCAGCAATGCCACCTGCTGATGACTGAGGGATGTGATGGCTGATTCTTCAGACATGACTGCCCCAGAAGAGACTAAGGTAACCTAAGGAAAGTTGAGATAAACAATTGTGTTTTAAAAGAAAATGCAATTCCTTTCTAGCAGGCTGTTTCTCTGCAAGGAAAAGGGAAGGTCCCAGTTTTGTCTGTACTGGCTGTGTCTCAGTGCCATCCGTACTGGCCACAGTCATGGTGTGTGTGTCACCACCCACCAGCTCTTCCTCGGGCATGGGGAGGGCACCGCTCTGCGTCACCATGCTGACTGCACTGCCCAGGGCCTGCAGGTCTTCCTGTGACAAACTGACCTGGGCAGGATAACAGCAGATGCTCTCAGCCAGGATGGCTTCTCAGGAAGCCTTATGCAACTCCTGAGTTTAGCAACACAAAGGTCTCAGTAAGGATGAAATAGTCTCTCCTCCTCTGCATGCACAACCTAGGGCACAGAGAGCTCCAAGGACTTTGCCCAGGGTCATGGACAGAACTCATAGAGAATTCACAGACCTCAGGTCTCCAGCCCTCCCCCTTCTACCACACCTCCCCTTCCCATTTAGCATCTTCTCTCCAGGCTTTGAAGGGACAGCTTGTGCACTGCTGCAGCAGGGAGCATCTCAGACTAAAAGGAAACAAGTGTTACTCGTAGCAGCTGTTTCCTTTGCCCCATGCCACAGAAGGGAGTTTTTCCCAGTCAGCACACGGGCAGCTGGTGGAAGGAAGTACAAGAAAAGCATTGCCGTATACAAACGATGAAAAAACAACCTTCAAATCCAGCCTGTGTCAGCAGAGATTGGGAGCTGCCTCTCAACAGCTGTCCAGAAGATGAGGGCTGCCGGACGCTGCATGCAAGCCTGGGCAAACACCTGCAAGACCCCATACAGCAAGAAGGCGAGTTGGGGACCAGAGGCCCATTCTTTACCCTCCACATCAAGACGGCAGCAGTGGGGTAAGGCTGTAAGGAGGGAGCCCTCATGACAGACAGAGCCCAAGAAGCCCCAGGGTCTGTTTTATGCTGAAAAAAGCCTTAAAGAGAACACCAAGGCTGGGTAGAGGCAGAATCTTACTCAGTTAACTGTTGTCCCCAACATTCCCGAGGCTGTCCGTGTCCATACCTGCTCTGTCCCATCCTGAGACATAAGTGAGACCTGTGTAGGCATATCATCATCATCTTCCTCTTCCTCCATCTCTGACAGGAAAGCAATATGCTGGCTCTTCAGGGGGGAGCCTCTGTCAGCAGCAGCAGCTGAGTCAGGGAAGGGGAAGAGCAAAAGGGGTGAGAGAAGCACTCATCAGAGCATGAAAGCACACACCTGACCCCGGGACCTGCCTGTTGCCTGAAGGGCCAGCACAGAAGAGCACAAGGTCATGATGACAACAGCCAAGTACTGGCCTGGGAAGAAGGCTCTTTACCTCTCCCTGTACTACAGAATGGGCCGGAGTGCATTCCCAGCTGGTGACGTACAGCGAGGACCATGGGGAGCCCTTTTTTCTTGTCTGTGACACATATCTCGGTTTGATGGGGGAGGCAGGAGGCCACAGCACAGACTTGGGTGTGAGAGAGGGGAGCGGCTGCAGGCTGTCATCTCTCTCCCCATTGCTGCAAGGCCTGACCCAAGCCACAGGTGATGGCAGAGTGGTTGCTCACCCTCCAGCTGCTGCTGTTCATAGAGGGCCTGTTCACTCTCCTCCGTGGCCTCCAGCTCGCCGTGGCTGCTGCGCTTGTGCATGGCCAGCGTGGAGGTCTGGCGGTAGGTCTTCCCACAACTATTGCAGGCATACGGCTTGCAGTGCGTGTGGACCACGTGGTGCTTGTAGAGGCTGGAGTACTCTGTGAAGCGCTTTCCACAGCCTGGCACAGTGCACATGTAGGGCTTCTCTCCTAGGGCAGAGGCCACAGAGCAGAGCTTAACCCACTCACCCTCCTCATGCTATGGGAAGGGATTTCCCATCAAGAGGGAAGAGCTGGAGACAGAGCACTGAACAGGTGGAACAATAATCAGCCCAATAAAGCAATTCCTATTTCCTTTAACTCACTGGCCACTCCCAGATCTACCCCTGCAATGCCTGGCCTGGAAAGCACCATTTCAGTCCCACAGATTTCCCTGCTGCCACAAGCTGTCAGTGCAGCCAACTGACTGGAGAGGAGCTGTCTGCATTTCACCATCTCGTCCTCTTACCTGTGTGGATTCTCATGTGGTTCTTGTAATTGGTGGCACTGGTGAAGCCCCTTCCGCAGTTGGGCTCTGGACACATGTACGGTCTCTCACCTGTGTGTGTTCGGATGTGAACCTTGAGGATGTTGGATGTGGTGAAAGAGCGGCCGCAGTCCACAAAGGGGCACTTGAAGGGACGCTCACCTGCATTGACAGAGTAACGTGGATGAGAGTCCTGCTACAACGCAGCTACCTGGAATGCCCTGGACACCTGTATCCCTTCACTCCTCCACAGTATTACACCAACGAGACCTCAGATCAGACCCAATTGCTGGCACATTTCCTCTACCAACACTGGCATCCCTACCCCTTTTGCTCTGCTGTTCGGAACTGAGTTGAGAATCCCTAGCACTACTACTACCACCCATCTACTCTCTGAAGACAACTTCAGTTCTGCCTTGCTTCACCCAAGATACAAAAAGGCATGTCCTGGACAAAGGCTGAAGCAATACTTTATCTTGGAGACCCTTTCAATGGGGAGCTCAGTTCTTCTCCTGTACTGCTCACCGGTGTGTGTCCGGATGTGTTTCTGTAGATCCCCAGAGGTTTTGAAGGCTTTGCTACACACATCTTCTGGACACTTGTATGGTTTCTCACCGGTATGCGTTCTCACGTGGCTCTTCAGCCTGTACCCTGTCCAGGAAAGAAACTACAATTAAATTTTATAACAAGAAGGAAATAATAGGGCAAGTGGTGTACCACCTCTCAGTTCATGCATTTCTGAATGTCTGTCCTGTGTCTGCAAAGCTGAAGGGGAAGAAATATCCAAACAGCCTCACAACACCACCAACTCAGCTTCTTCCTATGACTCCTTTAATCTGTCCATAAAGTCCCAGGAAGTCTCCTATGCTGCAATTCCTTCTCAGAAGGCTTTAAAAGCTATGCTCATTGTGCTCTGCTGGAAAAAAGCCAGGGCTGATACTCAAAGAGTGGTTTGGACTGGAGGGAAAACAAAATTTGCTCAAAAGAGAAATTGTTACCTGTAGCAAATGCTTTCCCACAGCTTGGGAAGATGCACATATATGGCCGGTCACCTGTGTGAGCACATTCATGCACCTGGAAAAGAAAGAACAGGTCCCTAAAATGAGGTCCAAGACAAGGAGGAAGGAAAACAGTGTGGAGAAATCTAGCTGGTGGAGAGAATCTGAAGTTCTCTGTTGGATTTCACCTTGGCCAATTAACACATCTGGATCTCTTGGGGAGCCAAGCACACAACTCAGCCTTTTGTATAGCAGCATTCTGATCTCGCACTACAACACGGGGACACGTCTGGTCTGCGCACTGCGTGACTGCATGTTACCTGCTTTACCTTTAGATGGTGGGCGGTGGTATAGAAGCGGCCACAGCCTTTGTACCCACAACGGAAAGCTCTACTGCCAGCCTGCTGTCCCTTCTCATTGCTGTGCACTTCCTCCTCCTGCAAATCCTGCCGAGAGACGTATGGAATTTAATTCAGTGAGCCACTACAGCAGGCTTCGCAAAGCCCACACAAATAATTTCCCTCCTTGCCATACATATGCAGTCCTTCAGTTATCCTCACAAAAACACGTTCGTACAAACACAGCTTGCGCACATATGGTAAAACCCAGGTGACAGGGCAGGGGTCTAAGAACCAGCATTTCCCATTCCCACCTCCCAGCTCACTGGGTGTTCTCGGACACATAACTCACCTCTCTGGGCTTCACTTAGCTCATTTGTAAAACTTGCAGCTAATATATTTGCTAACCTTGCAGAGAAGCCACAAAGCTTTTTTTAATTACTAGCTGGCAGAGCACTCTGCATCAAGAGGAGTTCAGCCTAGTTTCAGAAATGCATCACTGAAAAATTTAGACCTGGGAAGGGACGTTGCTGGAATCCTCACTTTTCATATGGCAGGTGTCTGTCACTCCTTCCTCTTCCTCGTCAGACACCTACAAGCAAAGAGGCACGAGTACTGTTCAAACCTCCCTGTACAGTGTGGAGCAAGTGAGCAACCGAAGCAGGAAGGCATTCATATCAGCAGTGCCACCCCACTCTTCTCCAAAGAGCTAGGGGAGGCTGGTCCTACCACAGCAGAAAGATCTCCATCAGCAAATCTTAATGCTGCCCAGCTGAGCACTATATCAGCACACTCCTGGTAGCCCCTTCTCATACAACACCATGAAGATGGGAGAAAATGGCAGCACCCAAAACATTCATATGGAGCACTGCAGTGACGACACATTAGGATCTGAAACTATTTTGGGTTTTGAGGCCTTTGTCAACATGGGGAACAGTGGCCATAACTTAGCCTGACATGTAAAAAGTTAGTCTTGATCTGCTGCCTGAATCACCTGTGGAAGAGAATATCATATCCAGGTGGCATTATGAGAAACCTAGCAAACAGAAAGAAAACACTTTCAAGGAGGGACATATAAAGCAAGAAAAAAAATCCAAGCTGTATCACAGCAGCTCTCTGCTCTTCCCAAATCTGTGCCTGCAGCACGTTAAGGGTGTTAGGCCCAGCACTCTGTAGGAACTAGCTAGGGGGTCCAGCAGGAAACTGACCCGTTCTAAGTCCTTAACTGTGAGCCACCTGTCAGTGGTGGCACTCTCACAGAAGCCCTGTTCAGTTTCTCTTCTCAAAGCTGACATTGCTGAAAAACAAATATACAGAAGCACTAATGAAGGGAGGACACTTAAACCCCAGGCCAAACGTGGACTATTACACCAGCCCCTCAGTGCTGCTGGCAGACCATGAAATAAGCATTGAGTCCTCACCTTACTGGCATACTGCTTTAATGCATTAATGGTCTCAACATCGAAGGCATCATCTTCATTCTCTCCAGCCAACTCCTCTAGCCCAGTTTCTGCCTGCACTTCCAGGATGGTGCTGCCAGGTGGCATGATGACAGGACGATGTATGTAGGCAGCATCCTCCAGCTGGACGGCCTCAAAGGTGCTGGGGTCATAACTTTCTGCAAGAGGAAACCAATAAAATCAAATGTAAAAGAGCGGCTGAGTGAGAGGCACTCTTTCATCTCCCTGGGCCACCTACAGCCTTGGAAATCTGTGACACTTAGCAGCTTCTACTCCAGCTGCCAAGGGAAGAACGGGGAACACACTTTACCTTTAGCTGTGTCATGTATGTAGGCCATACTACCATCTTCCAACTCTACTGGTTGACCATCTTCAAAAGCCACAGACTCTAAAAGAAAAGAAAAAATCCACACACCTTATTGGAAGACACGGTGGGTTTCAAGCAACCTTTTGAGAACAGAAAAGGGAGGTGGCATACAAGGAGCTTGGGAGGACTGCCCAGAGCAACGAAGTTCTTTCTACCTGCCCTTTTACACTTTATGGTGGCTGGGGAGGATTCCTATATGCCACTCTGGTGCTTGCCACATGAAATTAATTCCCATCACCTCTCAGATTAATTACTGTCACCTCATTTCAGAGGTGACATTGGCTGATGGGTCAATGACCAAGGTAGCATTGCTTCCAACAATCTCCACCCTCCCCCCCAAACACATATTCCAGAAGTAATAAATTATCTCACAGTTCAGAGGAAATTCCTGTCCAACTGCTCCCACATGAAACAAACTTTATTTGGGCTCTGTAGTTGGCACAAACACAGCACGCAGCTTACTGGCCTTGCTTGTAGACTTGCAATCTATGAGACTGACAACTGTGAGAGTGCCCACAGGTGAAACAACACTTAAACATTTGCTTACACGACCAGCAAATTTACCTTCTTGTCAGACTGCTAAAAACTTTGCAGGAAATCACATGTTCTATGTCCTTGCTCATTCAGCCTCAAAACCATGGTCAAGAAAAAAAAACCCTACACCTATATGGACTTCTTAAAGCTAGAGAGGAACCCGATTGTTGGCACACAGACAATTGCAGTTACATCTACAATGTCCTTCTAAAAAGAAAAAGGTGAATTTATGGTCCTCACCTTTCTGAACTGTCACCTGATGGATATAAGCTGTGGTCCCATCTTCAAGTTCAATGACTTGCCCTTCGATCAGTTTTTCACCTGAAACAGTTAAAAAATTGGCATCAGCGCTGCCTGCAGAGTCCAGTCTTTCTGGTCCCACAAGCTGTCCCCTTTGCTGCATCTTCTCAAGGAAACCAGTCCCAGAGAAGACAGCAAAACTGTTACTTATAAGCTGTTATTTATCAAGCTTTCCCCTGAATAGCCATAGAGGCACTTCCCAGAAATGCTGGAGCCTCCCTTTCCTAAGCAGGAGGATGCAAGACAAAGAACCTCAGTCATCACTTGTTTACAAGCTGCCCTTCACAGCCCTGTAAGCGAAGAAGCAGAAAGAATGATGTGTGCTAAGTGTTTTGGATCTAAAGTAGAAAGCAATTACACTTGTGCTGGAGAAAAATTCAACTAGGAGCTTTTAACGGCATCAGCAGGGGCCTGAAGATTTATTTTCTTCTACTTTGGTAGAGGATCAACTCTTGGAAAAAAATTACAGGGCCTAAAGGGACCTAAAGTGTTGCTACCCTTGATGTATTGTGAAGATTGGACCCTTAAAATAGTGTAACTCTTGAGTAACCCTATAATAATGTTTTAGTTACCAAATTATTTGATGCAGAGAGGACATTGTTCTGTCCCACTTGACAATGAGGAATCCAGGTTGCTTTCATCTGGTGCACAATGTTTGTGGGGGTCACAAAACCTAGTGGTTTTCAAGATAGTCCAACTCCACACATGTAATAAACTTGCAGTGAGTTCACACAGAAAGAAAGCAAGAGAGCAGTCCCCAGGACATGAAACCTCGCAACTCAACCATCCTGTTCTGCAGGCTGGGAAACAGCGTGTTCCTTTTCTCAGGAACAGTGAGTGGTGAAAGAAGCAGCACCTCACTAACACCAAAATAAGGGCAGGTGTTGAATTTGGCACTGATATTGCTTCAGTTAACCAATGCTGAGCTCAGCACCCCTCTGAGTGAGAAAAGCACTACTATGAACCAAGTTCTATGCATCTCAGTGAAGTAAAACATCCTGCTTAGCTTCAGGGGAAGTTTTGATTGAATAGAGTCCTGCAGGCCATAGTGTGAACTCTGTTTCCCCAGTAACCCTGGAGAGAACAGGGCTCATTCTAGTCTGAACAGAACCTTCATTTTCTACAGCAACAGCTCTCCCATCTCCAAAGCTTTATTTCCACACCAGAGGCATGTTTTATTTCTGCTGCGTCGCTCTTCTGCGCAAATCTAACAGATAGTTGCTAGCTTTCTGTACAAAGAGACCATACAAGATCTATGACAGTTCGTGTGCCATGAAGACACTTTTGATAACTCTGACTTTAATTTCGCAGGGTCAATCAAGAGACTTCAGACTTCGCAGCCCAAAGGAACTCTTACCTTTGACAGCCTGCTGAATGTAGGCTGTCGTCCCATCACTAAGGGTCACCGCTTGCAAGCCCAAGCTCTCCATCCTGCCCCAATGACTGGTCCTCAGACATGAATTTCACTTTGCTCAGCGTGCTCGCAGAGAGCACCGGGACCCAGAGCAAGAGGTTTGTGGAACAGTGAGTTGTTTTCTTTGTTGCAAGCCTTAAATAAAAAGGACAATTCAAATTTTATTTTCTCCCAACACATGTATACTCACTTTTGCACATTAAGAAAGGCTTGAATGACAAACTATTCTGGAGATTCCAAAGGATTAAACTGGACAAAAGATGCACCCTTCCCATACCAATGGCAGGCAGGGCTAACAACCTATTCCACAAATACAAGATAAAGCTTGTCAAGCCAGTGAATTGACAGACGCTTTTTAGAGATAGTGTAAATGCCACATTCAAGCCCTTCCCATCCTCCAAACGATCTGCAGAAAAGGTTTCTGAGTACTTTGAAGTCTGAAACTACAGGCTGAGGGTGTCCTGTACTGCAAGAGACAGGGGCAGGATGATGAGCTTCGTCCCTGGAAGCATCCTCATTCTCTCCTCCCTTTCCTGTCTAATTCCCAGCCTTCTGAGGAACGGAATTTCAGGCTATGAGCAGATGATGTTAGAACACCCACAGCCCCATGAGAACACTTTGCTAAAGAGGCACTCTGCTGATAGATTATTTTTAAAAGCAGCTGCAGTGGATTCTTCATCAGTAATCTCTGAGATAGCCTAATATTTTATCATTTTGATTTCCAGGAACAAGCCTGACTGCTCTGTCTGTCACTGCAGCACCCAAGGGTGCAGCCAGGCTTTGTGCCACGCTTAGTGCCCTCTAACCCAAGCGCTCCCTACACCCGACAGACAGCTCCTCTCCAGCTGCAGCAGATTCTGCCTGCTTTTAGGGCTGACACCTCCTGAGAGGCATCGCAGCTCGTTTCCCAGAGAAGACCCCGTCCCAGCAGGATCGCTGGGGAATCGAGGCCCCTTTTGACCTGCCATGGCTGCCACGCAAACAGATGTCAGTGCTGCTGGAGGGGGTGCCACCTCCTGGAAGGGATGGGGCAGGCGCTGCCTGAGGAAAGCCAGGTGTAGGCTGCGGTGTAAAGCCACCCAGGCGGTGACAGGGGACGTGCCTCCCCCGTCAAGGCGGGCTGGGGACAGGGCAGGGCAGGGCCTGGCGCCATGGCGAGGCCTGAGGCGAGCGGCGGGGCGGGGCAGGCTCAGGTGCCCCGGGAGTGGCGGGGACATGGTGGCTCCTCCCGCCCCGTGGTGTTGGCCAGGGGGGTGGCGGCGGCGGCGGCAGCAGCTCGCCGG